CTCTTCATCTCAGAAGGGAATTGCTACAAAGTCCTGCTCTCAATTTTAAAGGGCAAAAACCACACATTTCTTGAATTTACGGCTTTTATAAAGTTACATTAAAATGCTTATGTGAAGTTTTTTTTTTTTTTTAATATGGAGTCTCATTCTGCCACTTAGGCTGGAGTGCAGTAGCGTGATCTTGGTGTACTGTAACCTCCGCCTTGCAGGTTCTGGTGATTCTTCTGCCTCAGCCTCCCTAGTAGCTGAGACTACAGGCATATGCCACCATGCATGGCTAATTTTGTAATGTTTTTTAGTAGACACAGGGTTTCACCATACTGTCCAGGCTGGTCTTTAAATCCTGATCTCATGATCCACCCACCTCAGTCTCTAAAAATGCTGGGATTACAGGCCACCGTGGACAGCCTAATTTTTTTTAAAGTAAGAACAGCAAAAAAAAAGTGTCTTAGTATTTTTTAAATAAAAATCAAACATACTTAGTTTAAAAAAATTAAGGCAGGAAACTAAAATAGCTAAAACAATTTCGAAAAAGAAGAAGTAGAAGGAATCAGACAACAAGATTTAAAGACTTTCTCTATAGCTAGGGTAATTAAGAGAGTACTGGCAGGCGGCGGGCACAGACAGCAAAGCACAGAGCAGAATGGAGAATCCAAGAAAAAGACCCACACAGATATGCCCAGTGGATTTTTTGACAAAGTGCAAAACCACTTCAGGAGGAAGGACAGCTTTTCCACAAATGGTGCTGGAGCAATCAGCATTCATAGGAACAAATGGGCCTCTATCTATATGTCTTATGCTTCACACAAAATAAAACTCAAAATGGATCATGAATTCAAATATAAAACATAATCCTCAGGATCTAGGACAAGGCAGACTTCTTAGACTTGACCCCAAAGCCTGAATCATAAAAGCAAAGACTGGCAGACAAACTGGACCTCATCAAAATTAAAAACATTTCTACCGTGAAACAGCCAGATAGAAAGATAAAAAGACAAGCTACAGACTGGAAGAAAATGTTTGCAAAGCACATATTCGACAAAGCACTGCTATCTAAAATAGATAATAGAGACCTCTCAAAATTTAAAAGCATAAAAAAGAAAACAATCAAATTAGAACATAGGCAAGCCAGGTGTGCTGGTGCATGCCTGGAGTTCCAGCAGTTTGGGAGGTCAAAGTGGTAGAATTGATTGAGCCCGGGAGTTCTAGGCTAACTTGGGCAAAATAGTGAGATCCCATCGCTACAAAAAAATTAAAATTAGCCAGTCATAGTGGCACACACATGCTGTCTCAAAGCTACACAGGAGACTGAGGCAAGAGGATCACTTGAGTTCAGGAGTTTGAGACCAGCCTGGGCAACATGAGATCTGGTTTCTGTAAAGAATTTAAAAAAGGCTGGACACAGTGGCTCACACCTGTAATCCCGGCACTTTGGGAGGCTGAGGCAGGTGAATTACAAAGTCAAGAGATAGAGATAATCCTGGCCAACACTGTGAAATCCTGTCTTTACTAAAAATACAAAAATTAGCTGGGCATGGTTGTGCCTGCCTGTAGACCCAGCTACTCAGCTACTCAGGAGGCTGAGGCAGGAGAATCGCTTGAACCTGGGAGGCAAAGATTGCAGTGAGCCGATACTGCACCAGTGCACTCCAGCATGGCAACAGAGCAAGATCCCATTTTAAAAACAATAACTAACCAACAAACAAGGAAAAGAACATAGGCAAGAGATCTAAAGGCAGAAAGATATTTTACCAAAGAGAATATACAGCAGATGGCAAAAAAAAACCTATGAAAAGATGTACCTCATTACCCAATAGGGAAATGCAAATGAAAACCACAGTGATGCTACTACATGCCTATCGGAGTGCCTAAAACAACAAATGGTGACAACGTGAAATGCAGGTGAGGATGCAGAGACACTAGACCACTCATACACTGCTGGTGGGAATGTAAAAGGAAGATACAGAGACTCTAGAAAACAGCTTGGCAGTTTCTTCAACATACACACAAACTAAATACAAAACTACCACATGACTCAGCCACTGTCCTAGGCATTTACCCCCCTAAAATGAGTGTGTCCAGCCATCAACTTTTAATGTGTTTAAATTAAAGACCACCATTTGATGTGTTTCCACCTTGACAAGGACCCTAATGGCACAAGCTATGCAACATTTAAATGAAGAGACTTTTCTCACAGACAGGATTGTACTTTTGTCAAATATAAACTAGCATTTCTCTAAAAGACATACAAGTGGCTGGGCACAACAGCTCATACCTGTAATCCCAGCACTTTGGGAGGCTGAGGTGGGAAGATTATCTGAGGTCAGGAGTTCAAGACCAGCCTGGCCAACATGGTGAAACCCTGTCTCTACTAAAAATACGAAAAATAGCCAGAGGTGATGGCAGGTGCCTATAATCCCAGCTACTCAAGAGTCTGAGGCAGGAGAATTGCTTGAGCCCAGAAGGCAGAGGTTGCAGTTAGCAGAGATTGAGCCACTTCACTCTAGCCTGGGTGACAGAGTGAGACTCCATCTAAAATAAATAAATAAATACAAGCGTGCCCTACCATGGCGATAAAATCTGCTCCTGGGAGACTGATAATTATGCAGGATGTGGGAAGGACAAAAGGGTTTGTTCAGTTTTCCTTTCTTGAGGGCACAAATGCAGACTGTGAATGTTGGAAACAGCAGAGGACTGGTTAAGCTACTAATAAATTGCTGTGTCTCCACAGGATAGAATAAATAACTTCTAGAAATAAAAACAGCAGAATGTTTAGAAATGGGGTACAATCTTTATCAGTTTGCAAAGTGACAAGGGTACAATCTAGCAGGTACAGGGTGACGTGGCTTATAAGCATACAGCATCCTTTTGCCCCAGTATCGGAACCTGGTGGGACAAGGGTCACACTAGCCAGGATTTCTACAGGTCAACTAGTTTGCTTCCTCACTTTCTGGTTCTCTGGTGTTCTACGTTAGCATGAGCTGCTTTTACAAATCAGACAATCACAGAAATTTGTGCAAGGAAAAGCAGAATCTGAGCAATTTTCATCGAATCTTCCCAGGGATCCAAATGACCTTCTTAAAAGACCAGAAGATGGACACTCTTAGGGCTTAGGGCCTCCCTCCAGCCCAGACAGAACTCAGGGACTGCAGTGGGGCATGGCACAGGGGTAAGGCCTGCAGTCCCTGCCCTGGAGAGGAACCAAGAAGCAAGAGAATCACCCCTCAGAGTTCAGATATCTAACAAAGCAGCAAGGTGAATGACACGGACCAGGGAAACTTCAGAGCACAGAATCAAGATTTGAAACCCTTTTTAAATTTAATTTTATTTTTTTCAAAGAAAACTCTGTTTCCCAGGCTGGAATGAAGTGACACAATAATAGCTCACTGTAGCCTCAAACTCCTGGGCTCAATCAATCCTCCTGCCTCAGCCTCCTGAGTAGCTGGGACAATGGACATATACCTCCATGTGTGGCTTTTCTTTCCCTCCCTTTTCTTCCCCCCTAGAGTCTCCCAACTTTCCAAAGTGTACCCTGGGCCTTTTCAACATTTTTCTGTATCAGCTACTGTTGGGCTCCAATATGCCTGCCATCTTCTGTTGTCTGACCTGCCATCCCCTGACCAAGCACACTGTCTGGGACTCAGGTCTAGATGGGTCTGGCCTCCTGTTCCTGGCCATAGGTGGTGGCTCCTTGCCAAGGATTCCAGTATCTCTCACATTGGGCCAGGTCAGTGACATGCCACCTTCCTTCTCATTGCTGCGGGTGGCAGCATCAGCATTTCAGCCCACTTTATATTTCTGGCCCTTCTAACATAAGTCATCTGTCGAGGCTCCAGGATCCCACAGTGAGCAGAAAGATGGTCGCTGCCACCATGGAGCATCACAGTTTTGTCTGAGCACCAACGCTAGTGAGCTGGCACAGGTACCAGCACAGAAGAGCAAACACACGGGCAGAGGTGGTGAGGACAAAAACAAGGATTAGAGATCTGTTCTAATGGGAGAGCAGACCACCACCTGAGGCTTCCAGTTCCCTGCTCACCCCACACATGCCTCTGTAGAACCTGGCCCAGCTTCCTCACCATGGCCCTGCCTTCACCTGCTTCCCTACTGCACCTCACACAACTCACTCCTCAGCTCAGAAAAACACTTTGGGGTGTGCAATGAAAACTAAGGTCCAAGCTTGTAGTCAAGTCTTGAAAGTGCTCCCTGGCCATCTCCTCCCTTGCTGGGCTGCTTTTACTTGACAAACACACTTGGCCACACACACATACACACTCACACACAGGTACATTCAGGGTCACCCACATGTGCTGACGCTCACACATACCACACTCAAGCCTCACAATACACTCACAAAGCACCCTCAATACACTCACAATACACTCACAAAGCACTCTCCATATTGAAGCAACTTTCTCCTGTCCCCACTCTCCCACAGCCCTGAGCTCAGACAAGGCACATACCTTGAAGTCTATCTGATGGACAAAAAAAAAAATAAGGCTGTTGAAATGACTGGCCCCTCACCTCTCACTACATTCTTAATGCCTGGAAGGTGGAAGGGTTATGTGGTGCCCTCCTGGAAGCAGGCCTTTGGGAAATGTCTGTTGAGCGGATGGGCAGAATTCAGGAGCTGAGGGAGGCATGTGGTAGCTGAATGCAGAGAGGTGCCATCAGCAGGGGAGAGCAGACAGACAGTTACACAGCTCAGCAGCACTGAGGACAAGCTAGCAAGCCTCACTGTGCCTCAGTGTTTCATCTGTAAAGTTGGAATAAGAGCACCTGGCCTGAGAATTCCTATAAGTCACAAATGAGAATATGCAGGTGAACAAACTCTGAATGGGAAGTCATTATTGCATCTCTTATTATGATTATTATTTTACCATTATTCCTGAGACAGAGGGGCAGGCTGTATTTACAAGGAATGGTGGTGGCCGAGGAGGAAGTTAGGCAAGGCTGTGAATCAGTAAGTGTGTTACAGGCATAAAATCACAGTCCTTATATATCCTACTCTGTCAAATGATCTTTGTCAAACAAGAAAGTATAATATTTCATCAAATATTGGCTATACCACAGAACATATGCTACCTATTTTCTCTATCAACTACTCAGCTAAGCAGATTCCAACATCTAGAATAGAACAGTATTTCAAGCCAGAAACAGATGCTCATGACCATAATCCCAACACTTAGGGAGATCGAGGCAGGAGGGTCCCTTGAAGTCAGGAATCCAAGACTAGCCTGGGTAACATAGCAAGACCTGATCTCTGCAAAACTTAAAAATTTAAAAATTAGGCCAGGCATGGTGGTTCATGCCTGTAATCTCAGTAATTTGGGAGGCCAAACTGGGTGGATTACCTGAAGTCAGGAGTTTAAGACCAGCCTGGGCAACATGGTGAAACCTTGTTTCTACTAAATATACAAGAAATTAGCTGGGCATGGTGGTGTCTGCCTGTAGTCCCAGCTATAGCTAGGAGGCTGAGGCAGGAGAATCACTTGCACCCAGAAGGCAGAGGTTACAGTGAGTCAAAACCATGCCACTGCACTCTAGCCTGGGCAACAAGAGTGAAATTCTGTCTAAGAAACAAAACCACAAAAAGAAATTAGCTGGGCATGGTGGTGTGAACCTATAGTCCCAGCTGCTCAGGAGGCTGAGACAGGAGGATGGCTTGAACCCAGGAGTTCAAGGCTGCAATGAGAAACGATGGTGCCACTGCACTTCAGCCTGGGTGGCGGTGAGACACTGTCTCTAAGAATAAAAAGAATATTTCAACAATTCTCTTAATCTCAATGTACAATTTTACACTGGAAGGTAAGTACACACTTGTAAAAACCCACTTATGTAATTGTGAATTAAAGGACATTTTCTAGGGACTAAATGTCAACAACAATAAATTAAATCAATAAAATCAACTGACTGAATGTCAATTCAGAGACTGGCCTAAAAGAAAATGCCAACCCCATGGCCTGGTCTGAGCGAGTAAAATAACAAAATGATTTGCACCCTGGTCATCAACTACCTCACTGGCCTCATTCAGCAATTGTGGAGCCTGCTTCTCCAGACCAGAATTCTCTACTGCATAGATGAAGTCTTCAAAGCCAGCAGAGAGGTATGCTATAGGCACAATGCATTCTAGTTCTTAGTAAAAAAAAAAAAAAACACTCAAAGGGAGGAACGTCTGCAAGAACACTCACCCAGGTCAATCATGTCTAGGAACCTCTGACCACAACACTGCCATTTGGAGGGTGTGGGAAAAATTTAAAAAGCTAGTCCATCCACAAAACGGTACAATCCTGGTTAAATATTCTTAATGTGAGTACTTCATCATCAAGGTTTTTCCTGTTTCATCATTTCCCTTGGAAAAGTATCTAAAAGAAGATAGTTTTCCCTTCCACTGAAAACATAAAATTCAAAAGCACATCCTCTTCAGATTAATAAAAGTTGGCTGGGCATGGTGGTTACACCTGTAATCTCAACACTTTAAGAGGTTGAGGCTTGTGGACTACTTTGAGCGCAGAAGTTAGAAACCAACCTGGGCAAAATGTCAAAACTCCATGTCTACTAAAAATACACCACCGGGCATGGTGGTGTACTTCTGTGGTCCCAGCTACTTGGGAGACTGAGGCTGTAAAACTGCTGGGACCTGGCAGGGAGAGTTTGCAGTGAGCAAAGTTCACACCGCTGCATGCCAGCCTGGGCAAAAGAGTGAGACCCAGTTTCTAAAAAAAAGGAAGGAAGGAAGGAAGGAGAAAAAAAGAAAAGAAAAGAAAGAAGAAAGAAAGAAAGAAAGAAGGAGAGAAAGAAAGAGAGAAGAGAAAGAGAAAAAGAAAGAGAGAAAGAGAGAAAGAAAGGAAAGGAAAGAAAAGAAAGAAAAGAAAAGAAAGAAGAAAGAAAGAAAGAAAGAAGGAGAGAAAGAAAGAGAGAAGAGAAAGAGAAAAAGAAAGAGAGAAAGAGAGAAAGAAAGGAAAGGAAAGAAAAGAAAGAAAAGAAAAGAAAGAAAAAAGGAAAACAAGAAAAGCCAGTTTTCTACGGATCTGCGTAATGATGGAGACAGCCTCGTTGATGTCACTCACATAAGAGAAAAGCCCTTTCCTCAGGAGGATGAGCGGAGATAAGGAAGCAGTAGGACCCCAGCCTTGGTGGTGCCCTGACTGCTGTCATCAACCAGTGGCCTGGGATGGTGGCTCTGGGCCCTAGGCGTGTTCCTTTGCCCAATATACAAAACATTTTTATCTGTCAACTACCCTCAAAGGCAGCTGGAGAGGCAGACTGTGTTCCTGGCTGCTGTTCCAAGTACCCAGCCTCCAACTGACAGATGGTTATCACAGGTCCACTATATGCCAGGAGCCCAGCTTTCAGGGACTGGGGACACAGCAGGAAGCGGGACAGACAGAGCTCCTCTTGCCTCCCAGGAGCCCAGGGTGTGGCATCCACAGGACACAATGCTGGCTTTGAAGCTGATCCAGGTGCCTGTTCTCCCTTGTGGTCTGCCCAATCATTTTACTTCTCTCCTCATTTTTCACATCTAGAAATAAGCACAAAACAAAGATGCCGTTGGTGGTCCTACAATACCCCCTTACTGCTGCATAGATCTGCACCCCAAATCTCTCCTAATGGCCCAGAGTCACCTGGCCAGGCTCACTTGCTGGTGATGGTGGTCAGGACTGGGGTCCCAATGACACCTGTTCTGGGAGACTAGCTTATCAGAATCAGGGAAGCGGGGCTCTGAGTGGACAGAGTAGGGGACAGGAAGCTGTGAAGATGGTGCTGGGAAGAAGGGCCCATGAAGAGGGTTGAGGAAGGATGCTGGTTTGAACAGTGTGAGGCCTGTCTGAGAAGCTGTACCCAACTGCTTCCTCCAGTACTGCTGAAACAAACCAGGGGGAAAAAAAGGTACAGGAGCCCTCTTCCTCCAGTCCTTTATTTCCAGCCAACTGGACATGATTCATCCATTGCTGTGGGTGCCTCCTAACTTCCATGAGTTTGTCACACTGTGTCCTAGTTTTCTGTGTGCCTGGGTGCTCAGCTGCAGTTGAGCTGACACGGAGGGTGGTGCTAAGTTTTATTCATCTCAATCCAAAGACAATACACATTAGCTCAGCAGAAAAAATCTAATGGTGCCGCAGCCCCAAAGCTGGACTTCTTTTCAACTGTACCTAATTTTGGGGTTTCATGTGGTCTGGAGGGTCTCATGCAAAATGATGGATTTTGCCTCAACTGACACAACCACAACCCATTACGCTTCACCCATTCAGCACTCTCACTGCTGCTGTCCTGGCTCCCTGAAGGTGGCCTCATCCTGCTGGCTGCACACATCATGCCTGCTTTTTCCCCGTTCCCTCCCTTCACCTAGACCCTCACCTGTTCAAACAGCTATTCTACATTCTTCCATCAGCCCCTTCTGCTCATCCTGAAACAATCTCAGGCCAGGTTTCTCTTGATCATTTCATGCCCATATCACAGAGACCATCTCTGAGCTAGGAACCAGCTCCAAACACTCTCTGTGCAAGCAGCAAGACCATCTAAAGATGTCTTTCCCCAAGAACCTGCCATAGCTTCTTATAGCCTCTCGTAACATAGCCCATCTAACCTACCTTTAACATTGATTACTGAAGACCTGCCTGTCCGTTGCAACTGGGAAACAAGGATGAATAAAACAGGCACAGTCACTGCCCTTGTGGACCTACTATAGGTGGTTAGGAAAGATAGACTATCAAATAACCCCACATAGAAAAAATTACCAAAGGCTAAGTGGAAGAGGTGTCCACCCCTGCCAGCGGTAATGGAGAAGCTGAGCCAGTTTGTCAGGGAAGACTTCTTTGAGTAAGCAATGCCAAAACTGAGATATGAAAAGGTAGAGGAATTCACCAGAGGATGAAGGGTTTGGAAAAAGCATTCCAGAGACAGGGAACAGCAGATGCAAAGGCCCTGAGGAAAGATAAAGTATCATCTGTGCAGAAGACAGAAAGAAGAGCCAAGGGGCCACCAGGCAGAGGGAATGGGGAGTGCAGGCCTGGGAGACACAGGGAGCAGGTGTGCTGTCAGCTGCCAGGAGCAACACCTGATCCAGCCCGGCTTCCTATCAGAGTGCACAAGACATGGGACTTTATGTTAGCCTGACCTACACACAATCAGTAAACAGTCTGCTATGAAATCTACATTTCGTGCCACAGGCAGTGCAGGTGCAAATCAGAGACAAATGTCTGTGGTTATCTGTAACCTCTACTTCCTGCCAACAGCTTGTGATATAAAGAGCTGAAACTCCTATAAAGGGAAAAGCCCAAATAGCCTTTAAGAGCTAATGGTCTGAACTCCATGTGGAGTATGAACTTCAAGGTCACCACTGGAATGGCGTTAAAGCCCAGGCCTGTGTAGAGGACAGTGAATAGGTCTCAGCTCCCCTGCTCCCATCATGACCTTTTGTATGTCCACTGGCAGCTTTTGTTCTCCTGTTTTATCACCGTTTCTTTTAACTTTCTGACTGGCCTTTCAAGGCAAATGGTAAGCTGAGACACTAGAAAATATGGACTGAAAATACAGATTGCACTTCATTTGCAGTAAGCTGTTTTTGGAAAAAAATAGTAATCATAAAGAGCTTCAGGGCTGGGCACGGTGACTCATGCCTGTAATCCCAGCACTTTGGGAGGCTGAGGAGGGTGGTTCACAAGGTCAAGATATTGAGACCATCCTGGCCAACATGGTGAAACCCTGTCTCTAAAACAATATAAGTAAATAAAAATTTAAAAAAAAAAAAAAAAAAGGGGGGGCTTCAGTTTTTTTTTTCCTCTGTTCAAAGCTTTAGTTGAAGCCAAACAGGATTTCTTTGGTTTGGCCTCAAGCATGTTTATTTATGTTGGTTCAGGTCACTCGTTCAGGTATGCCTTTAATTCAAAATTTTGGTTATATTTAGAGTGTGATGAAAATTTTTGTTCGGTTTTGTTTGTTTAGCCTTCTCTTCTGAACTAAATAAAACCATATACTGTGGCTTGGAAGAAAAAAAAACATTTACTAAAAAATTTCAAAACCAAAAAGCTTTAAATAGTGATTACCTTCACCTCCAGTAAACAAAAATCTCCCACCTTCAAAATTTCTTTTTGATGTAAATTTTAGAAAGAAAAAGACAAATAAATGTTTGCTGTGTACCTGGCTAAAATCTAATTTTTTAAAAAAACATAAAAACTCTACAGCCAAAGTCCATTTACTAAAACCGATATTCAGGCTATATATGTATATGCTAATTTGAGGCCTGTGGTGTTTTTCTATATGCTTATCAGTCAACTAAATTTCTCTCTCCCTAAACTCCTGCCAACTCTAGGGAGGGAGGTCTGTCTGATTTTTCTCTTGTTGACCTCTAACTTACACATTTTGTTTATTGGAAATGCCACAAAATAAAAAATTCTCTCCAAACCTGTTGGAAGGAAACATATTAGGTATTTTGCACAATATCTGTACTGCTAAATTAAATGGCAATGTCTTATAAAATATTTGGCCACCCCATCTATCTATAAACAGCCCTGAAGAAACCCAGCGCTTGGACAAATTCTCTCAAAAAATTTACAAGGTATGGCCACCAATTTGTTTTAGATGGAGATTCTATTTTAAGAAAATCTACTAATAATTTGCCTCACTTACAGGAAAACAGCTTTATTTACTGGGAAAATTTATTTGCCTTGGTGAGGCAGCTCTGTAAATCAATGACATGACTGTAGTTTTATTTGTGCCTCTCTGTGATACCATCACAATTTGGCTTTTGGGGCAATTTTAACATTTCTCATGGAGATGTCTCCTCTTCCCCCCATCCCAATGTGAGACAGGATTATCAGGGAATGAGCCTTCCCAATCAGAGAGACACCCTAACACTTAGACTTTGATCATTGATGCTTTCAAAATTAAAGATTTTGATCAAAAACAGAAAAAAGAGAAATATAAAACTATCTTATTTGAAGAAAGACAAAGCCCTCTCTAAATGATCAGGCCCAATGATGCAAAGGAATAAAAAAGCAGTCATGTCCTACTTACCCTCCAGGCCACTAAGCTATATCATTTCTTGCAGTTGCTTGCTATGTAGATTCCAGACTGACAAAAAAAGTACTTATCAATGAACCTAACCATGCTGTACATGCTGTACACCATAACCTACATTTCAACCATGTAAATTACTAATCATCATTATTTCTGTGAACCAATGAAAATTTCTGACAAATAACTGTATTGGCACACTCCTTGTGTCTCTTTTTGTCTTTAAAAACCTGCATATAACAAAGATTAAATGGGGTTCATATCCAGGTAACTTGAATCTGAGCCTTCCAGGCACCTGTCCTCACCTTGGCTCAAGTAAACTTTAAAATTCTATTTTATGCCTTAGTTTACTTATTTAGGTTAACAAATGTATAAAGCATCAGCACTTGGGAACAAAACCAAAAATAGCATTGCCAACAACATCAAAAATTAAATTTAAACAAGTCTCAAATGGGTTAAATAGGTGAGTCACCTGAGCGAGCCAAGGCCTCAGACAGCAGCATATGTGCAACAGACTGAGGCACAGAAACAACAAAAAAATAACCTTTTTGCCATAATATTAATGAAATGTTAAAGATAACATTCAGTTACTGAAAACTCAAAAAAGGTAAAACCAAGCAAATCCCTGCTTCATGATAAATAGTTAAGCAACAGAAAAGTGTCACAACAGTTAGTAGAAGGTAGATGAGATCAGGAAAACACCAGAACTGATTAAGCCCTGTTTACTCCCCATGGTGAGTCCATGCAGGGTTATATTTGTATTTAAACTCAGAATAAAATAAGCAACTTATTTTAACAATTATCGGGAGACCGACGCAGATGGACCATGAGGTCAGGAGATAGAGACCATCCTGGCCAACATAGTGAAACCCTGTCTCCACTAAAAATACAAAAATTAGCTGGGCTTGGTGGCGCATGCCTATAATCTCAACTACTTGGGAGGCTGAGGCAGAAGAATAGCTTGAATCAGGAGTCGTAGGTTGCGGTGAGCCGAGATCACAGCATTGCACTCCAGCCTGGTGACAAGTAAGACTCCGTGTCAAAAAAAAAAAAAAAAAAAAAAAAGAAAAATCTTTCTTTTTCTGTGTTGTATCACACAATGCACTCAAATTTTCAACCAATGAAATAAAAATCTTACCCTCCAATCATAGAATAAAATTCTTAAATATTGGGCACACTGGAATTATATGGCAGCAAGGTTTTATTTTTTTAAAAAAAGGAAAGCAGCCCAGGAAAGCAACCTCTTGTATTCACATTCACAAGAAACCACATGCTCAGTAGGTTAAACATGTTCCTCAGCTTGGTGTCCACTGTCCTTGTGAAGGTAGCCCAGGGCGGCTTACTCATAGGTGGCAAGTGAAAAAAAATATTAGCACCTGAGAAATAAAATTCTGGGAGCTCCACAATTCTACTATCCTCTTCTCACAGTGTGAAAATGGTCTCTCCTCCAGGGTATCAGCTCTCGCCAGCGACAAAACTCATCTGGAGTCAGTTTAATGTTCTAACCTGTGATGAGTTTTTTTCTGAAAATATTTTTGACAGCAAATGTGTGGAGCTCGCTGAATGCAAACCAATTCTTCAACAATCTGTCCAACAGTTTAATTCTGTCATCACCCAGAGTTAGTACAGACCACACAAGTTCAGTGCTCAGTCGCACAAACTGCCCCCACTACAGATGCTGGTCTGGAGGGGGTAGCATCTACACTTCTGAGCATCTATCTATAAATCATGGGCTCCTGTAGCTCCTCCAGTTCAGTAAATTGTTAGAACTACTCATAGTATTTATTCAGTAAAACATTGTACTATGTTTTCCAGTTGATTATGAAGGACACAACTCAAGAACAGCCAAGTGAAAGATGCATTAAGTCAAGGGAGAGTGATGGGGGACGCTGGGACAAGTAGGTGACCCTGGTAAAAAGTGGTAACTAAAGCAATCTCCCATTCTTTGTGTTCGGCAGGAGCAACGTAATGCCAAAAAACAAAAACAAACAAAAAAAACCCCTTCCGATTATGACATTGATGTTGCTCTGTTATTTACCTGTCACAAAACGAAACTCAGACACTACAAATACCCATTTTTGCCTCATGAACAATTAGATGAACAGTTTTCTTCTTCAGTGGTCAGAACAAAATACTTACCAATCAAACTTTGCTTAAGTTTCTCTCCTTACCCCAGGCTCCTGAACTCTGACCCACCTCAGCCTGAGCCAAAATACAACCTCTCTTTCTTCTCCTCTTAAGAACAGGCTGACTTCAGGGCAACACATTCTGATTTCAAAGCTGATACTGCCACCCTCCATCTGGCCTCTCCCTCCCACCTTCTTTCTAATCTTGTTTGCTTCTCTCTAGGGAAAAAAGCCTTTGTCTGCCTAAACTTTGAGATGCTGGCAGATCTCATGTTTGATGTTTCTCTCACTGCAATACTCCTTTTACAATAGTTACTTCTAACCTTAACTTGAAAATATTTCATTTCACATTTATCTAGAAACAGCCCAAAACAATGACAATTACACCCTCAGAAAAGGCATTACCCCCCCGACTCCCATCCCAAATCTCACCAGTTTCCCTGTGGATTCCAATTTTTCCAAGACTCTGCATAAAGAGCTCCTTCCATGGTTGGTTTAAACAGATTGGAACACCTGCAGTGAAGACTTCACGAGAGGAACTAACTCAGCTTTCAATGACCCCCTTTTGCAGAATTAGGATGGTTATTTGCTTGGGTTCTCTAAGGCCATATGTCTGCTTTCAAGTCAAGAATATTCACTTAGTTTTAAATAAGTAAAAACCTAGTGATAAGTAAATCCAGCAATATTACTCAAACTCAATGTTTATGCTATAGGCAGAAAATTTTTATTTTTATTTTATACCTCAACATAAAAATAAAAGTAGCTATCTTTTCCAGGCAGTAAATGTGTCATTTATCATTTTGATAACAAATCCTATAGTAAATAATAAACATGAACACTTGTAGTAGTTGCCAAGTTTCATTCCATAAAATTTAACATTAAACTGAAATCCAGATAACAGAGCTGAGGTATCCACTCTCAAAAATTTTTCACTCTGCACAAAAGAGGAATTGATATTTTCATAAGTGATTTATTTTTCTGTAGCTATAATGAGAAACATTTCTTCTATTTTTTTCTAAGGTAGGATTCCCAAAGCTAAGCCCTGAGATTCAGTTTGAAACCATGCTAAAATATAACAGACCTCAGAAACTCCCTAAATTCACTCTGCAAAACAAAAAAGGTAAATGAAAATTTTTAACCAATGGAATATAAAACAAAATATTTTCTCTGAAATCTATCCCTTTCTTTCCTCTTAGAAACATTTGTGTTTTTTTTATCTTTCAAGCTCTAATGACAAAATACATTATACAGTTAATAAAAACAGAAATAAGTGAACAAATATATTCAAGATGACAAACACAGGGAGAGGTGGTGCTGAGTGGAACACAAACATATTGTCAATCACTTGAGAGATTCTCCAACCGCCATCCTGCTAAGGTACTTAATCACCACCCTCTCAGAAGGCACTGCACTTGCCTCCTATGTGCCTGATGTGTATTTTCCTTTGCAAGTTCATACACTACTACCTCATTAAGGTGGGTTTTTCTTGCACTTTGGGCTAGTTATTCTCCCTTCACAAGCCTGAGAGAAGCCAGAGGACAAGATGCACGTGTGCCTTTTCTCCTTAGTACCAGCACCAACGTGTCTGCCAGGAAAGGAAGCTGGGACTGAAAGAAAATAAAATCTTAATATTCAAAAGTTAGCTTTTTAGAGAAAATGTGAGGCCGGGCGCGGTGGCTCACGCCTGTAATCCCAGCACTTTGGGAGGCCAAGGCGGGTGGATCACGAGGTCAAGAGATCGAGACCATCCTGGTCAACATGGTGAAACCCCGTCTCTACTAAAAATACAAAAAATTAGCTGGGCATGGTGGCACGTGCCTGTAATCCCAGCTACTCAGGAGGCTGAGGCAGGAGAATTGCCTGAACCCAGGAGGCGGAGGTTGTGGTGAGCTGAGATCGCGCCATTGCACTCCAGCCTGGGTAACATGAGTGAAACTCTGTCTCAAAAAAAAAAAAAAAAAGAGAAAATGTGTATCAGGAAACTGCTCTCAGCAAAAGGGCATCTAGCTGTTTCCCTAAGATGCTCCACCCAACACCTCAGGCTCTCTACTGGGAGAGAGCTGATACTCACCAGACACTCCAAGAGACAGGGCCACTGTGAGTATCTTGCGTCATCCCCAGACGGTTGTAAAACCCAGAACCAGGAAAATACAGAAGAGTGGCTGAGGACGCATCACCCTGCAAGGAACCAGAAAGCAACCTCAACCCAAAGAAATTTTGTTAAGGTGTGTGCCTAGGCAAGATAAACAGAGAGGTGCAAAGATTTGTTACAGTATTGTCAGGTGATTCTTATTTACTTTTCTGTCATGTGAAATGTTCACAAACAAAAAAATAAGAGACAACCACCACCCTGTGAATCAAAAACAAACAATTAAAATATTGTGTTTGTTCTAAAACCAAATAAAGAATTAATAGTTGATAACATGATTTGGGAGAGGGATAATTGGCATTTGGGAATGTAAGTCATAAATTGGAAATTTAGTTTCCTTTTTTTTTGAGACAGAGTCTCGCTCTGTTGCAAGGCTGAAGTGCAGTAGCGCCAACTTGGCTCACTGCAATCTCCACCTCCTGGGTTCAAGAGACAATGCTGGCCAGGATGGTCTCGATCTCATGACCTCATTATCTGCCTGCCTCAGTTTTCCAAAGTTCTGGGATTATAGGCATGAGCCACCTCACCTGACTGGAAATTTAGAATTTTCTACAGGCCCTAGAACAGCTAGGCTAGGAGAACAAGAATGGATTTGGAGACCCTGCTTGCCATATGTTTGAAAAATGCAGGGAAAACCAGTCCCCCTGTGAAGCATTAAAATAATTAAACGGCTCACAATTTGACTAAAATGGCCATAGTGCCCTGGGATTCTACCTGAGGAAACCTAACTATGTTAAAAAGAAATTTTCTGTGAATTATTAACTTAGAGAAAAACAAATCTTAGGCTTAACCAATCACAAGCTGCCAATAAAGCTCTGACTACATAACCAGGACATTTCCACCTGATGCATGCAAATGCAATATGTAACTGTACCCAATCCAATATTGAATTTGGTGTGCTTCCTAATGCTTCTTTCTTCCTCATGCCTTTTCTTCAAGTCCCACCTTTGAGCCCACAAACAACAAACCACAGCTGGGTGCTCTCTGATTCATAAATTGGTGTTTGGGCAAATCAATGTTTTGTATTACGTAATTCATTCCTGCATTGCTATAAGGAAATACATCAGACTGGATAATTTATAAGAAAATTGTTTTAACTGGCTCATGTTTCCGCAGGCTGTACAGAAAAAAAAGAAAACACCAGCATCTGCTTCTGGAAAGGTCACAGGAAGCTCAAAATCATGGTGGAAGGCAAAGCAGGAGCGTCCAACTAGGGCAAGGGGGATGAGGAGTGGTATACAACTTTTTTGGTTTGAAACAGTCTGGCTCTGTTGCCCAGGTTGGAGTGCAGTGGCCTGATGTCGGCTCACTGCAACCTCCGCCTCCCAGGTTCAAGCGATTCTCCTGCCTCAGGCTTCTGAGAAGCTGGAACTACAGGCGCATACCACCATGCACGGCTAATTTTTGTATTTTTAGTAGAGACCGGGTTTCATCAGGTTGGCCACGATGGTTTCGCTCTCCTGACTTTGTGATGGGGGTGGTATACATTTTCAATGACAAAATCTCCGGAAAACTTCTATTAAAGAGATAATACCAAGAGAGGTGGCGCTAAACTATTCATGATAAATCCACCCCCATTATCCATTCACCTCCTACCAGGTCCAAACTCCAACATGGAGGATTACATTTCAGTTTGAGATTTAGGCTGGGAAACCCGTCCAAATTATATCATTGCTTAACTTGCTAAAGAAAGTTAAGGCCGGGGCAATGGCTCAGGCCTGTAATCCCGGCACTAACGAAGGCCAAAGGCGGGTGGATCACTTGAGCTCAGTAGTTCCAGGCCAGCCTGAGCAACATAGCAAAACTCCATCTCTATAAAAATTACAAAACTTAGCCAATCGTGGTGGCACACGCCTGCAGTCCCAGCTACTTAGGGTCTGGGGTGGAAGAATCACCTGGGCCCGGGAGGTGGAGGCTGCAGTGAGCCCTGATTACGCTACTGCACTCCAGCCCGTGTGAAAGAGTGAGACACTGTCTCCAAAGAAAAAAAAAAAAATCCTCAATTTAATTTTTAAAAGGAGAAAGGTGGGACTGGGGCCCCACGGACTACTACTTCTTCCCCAGTAAAACTCCAGACTCCATGTGGGAACTCCTTCCCCTTATATCCTCCAATCGTCCCCACACAATCTGAAAGAGACTTGCGGTCGCACAGAGCTACCCAGGAAGGACTCTAGGCTCGGGAGTACTTCGCGTTTAAGGAAGAGGGTAAGACGCTCAGGGTTTTGGCTGCTGGGTCAGCCCCTAATCTGCGACGGAGGGAACTGAGGGCCGAGCTGTGCCCGCGAGAACTCAGGTCTGCAGACTCCAGAGCTGACCACGAGGCCCAGATCCCACCGCAGCCCCCTCCCACTTCTCAGGACGCCCACCCTGTGTACTCACCGTTTTCCAGCCTCTGAAGGTTCCGGGGTCCTCTCTAGGGATCTCCCAGTACCTGCAGGTCACAGGATAACAGGGTCTGTGTTAGCCTCACCCACGAGTTGTTGGCGCAGAGAAGTTGGAACATTGGAGACAGGAACTGAACACAGGTGACAAGACCCTTCCAGATTGCAAAGGCCGCCTTTTCCTCTCTGTCTGCGAACCTGATTGGACAGTTTTCACGCTGGCATCACGGATTAGCTGGGGCACCAGACTCCACCCCTTCAGGCCCTGAGTGACAGGTGACGTAACCAGAACCTGGGCTGAATCAGGGGAGAGAGGCAGGTTTTTGGCTGCAGCGTTTTCAGAGATTCCTGCTGGTGCTGGGACCTGGCCCTGCCTGAGGAACATTTGCATTTAACCTTGCACGTATGATTATATCACTTTCTGAATTATACTTGTGTGTGTAAATATGTATACACTTACAGAGTACACATATATTACTCTCAAATTAAAACAATACAATGGCAATTATTTGAAAGTTTCATATTTTATAACCTTTCTGGTGTCCGGTCTTCTGAGCGGGAAGCCTGAGCTTTAGAAAAGGTGGCAATAGGAGGTGGGGGCGGGCAGTGGGGCAGATCAGGACCGCGCACAGGGCTGCGGGGCGGGAGACAGAGACTAAGCCGGTTGGGCGCCGTGGAGGGCCTGCGTCGTGTGCTGGCACGCTGGAAGCACTTCCATATCAAAGTGAATCTGGCGGATGTGGCACAGCTGGCGCCGCTGACCATATACACCCGCAGGAAAAGCTCTGCTACCTAAGCGCCCAGCTGGTGGCCTGAGCAGGAGTTCCCGGGAGCGCGCCTTCTACTACCACGGGAAGGCTGGACAACCAGTCGACCTTGCGCCCGCAGGAGGGCTGATGCTACTGCTGATCAGCGACCCAAGGTAGTCTGGGCTGAAGGAGGGAGAGCTGTGAGCCGGGGACCTGGGTGCTGGCTAAAGAAACAGGAGGGGGTGGGGCGCGCTTTTGGAAGGCACCTCTCCCGCCTCACGGGGGCCTAGACGTCACTACAGGGTTTCGGGGCCCAGGTGGATGGGGGAACACTGGCCTTCCTGGCGGATGCACACTGCTTCCGACACTCCTGCTGGAGCCCCAGCCCCTGACACTGACCTAGAACATTGCTGCTCCTGCCCAGCCTATCAGGAGGGAGCCTTGAGCCTTCCAGCTCTACTACTGTGTGACTTACAGGCTGTTGCTACCCTCTTGGGGCCCCATCCACACTTTTATCCAAGCCGTGACCTCTGCCTAGAGCACTTTTCAATCTATTCTCTGCAGCTCCTATTCACCTGGGATTGCAGCCTCTCTCAGGAAGTCTTCTCAATTTTTTTTCCCCCAGGTGACTTAGCCTTCTTTGAGGCACTTAGCCTTCTTTGAGGCCTTCACAAAGCCTATGAGCAGTGAACAGCCCTGGCTGGGAGTGCAGCCCGTCCTGCCCAAACTCTCAAATGACTAAGGGTGGCGATATGGTCATCCCAA